TAGTTGTTTTTGCTTTTCTTGGCTAGTAAGGATGAATGTATTTTAAAATGAATTTGTCTTCTGGTTCTTCTGTATTGGGTTATTCATCTTTTCCTTATTCATTTGTAGATGAGCTTTATATGTGAAGGATCTCAATAACAATAGTCTCTCGCACTCATTGCTTAAGTACTTAAATGCTCAGCACTGTGCTAAATTCTTAAAATGTGTTCTCTTAATCTGTGATTAGCCCATTTTGCTGATGAGAAATATGAGGCTTCCCAAGGATCAGTGACTCACCAAAGGTCACAGCCAGAGATGGGACCTAGATCTAGGTCCCAAGGAAGCCAAGTGTTGAAGGACTATGCCATATTCTACCAGCAGTACAAGAAAGTCCTTGTTTGTTTACAACCTTTGCTCTTTTTTCTTATTAATTCTACTTTTTATTTATTTTTTATTTTTTGAGACAGGGTCTCGCTCTGTCCTAGCTCACTGTAACCTCAAACTACTGGGCTTAAGTGATCCTCTCATGTCAGCCTCCCAAGTAGCTAGGGCTGCAGGTGGGCGCCACCACTCCCGGCTGATTTTTTTATTTTTTGTAGAGGCAGCATCTGTGTTGTCCATGCTGGTTGCAAACTCCTGGCTTCAGCTTTGGCCTCCCAAAATGCTGGGATTACAGGCATGAACTACTGCGCCTGGCCTAATTCTACTTTTTAAATTTTATTTTTCACTACAATATGAAAATATTTTCTTAGCATAGAAGATTTGAGGAATACTCAAGCATTTGTAGTAAAATTTGACAGTCCTCATCCCGTCGATCCCACCAGACACTGAGGTTTGTACCCTCTTAACCTCTGCCCTCACCTGGCATCTGAACCAGCCCCCTTCTCAAATGCCTGGCGGCACCATTGACCTTTGCTTGCGTGTCTCGGCTCAGATGTATGAAAAACACTTTTCTGGTGAGGGAGAAAAATTCAACTCTGTGGTGCCTGTTGAAGTGAATCCGCTAGAGTCAAAAGATTTGTTGCAAACAGACTCGTAGAAACAAAATCAAGATGAAGTCTAGAAACTTTCCAAGTAGAAAGTAAGCCGGGCCACTTTTATATGTGGGAGGTTGCAGAATAAAAGGCATCAGTGACAAGAGAGTGAATGACCCCAGGGGTTGGTGGGCAAAGACCCCGCTAAGACCAGGACAGCCGACCACCACACAAAATTGTCACAGGTAGGACACAACTGGCTCTGCCCGCTCCACTTCAGCAGCCGTCCTTGCTAGCACAGTGATTCTAACTCCAGTGCTGTGCATCCTCAAAGGCACTTGTCACAGACTTCTCAAGTTTCTTGTAGGGTTCCTGCTAAAAATGCTACACCACCCTGTGTGTGGGTGTTTTAATTGTAAAAGTTTATTATGTAAAATGTGCATAAAAATATTTACCATCTTAATTAGCCAGGCATGGTGGTGCATGCCTGTGGTCCCAGCTACTCGGGAGGCTGAGGCAGGAGGATCGCTTAAGCCCCGGAGTT